TTAGTGTGAGGGATTGCTGAAGAGTCAATGAGTCGATGCAATCAGCTGGTTTTCCTTAGATAGAAAACTTTGTATCAATCTGACTGGATGATCTGGTGAACTGGAAAGTGACCTGAGATGAAATGATGTGAATTGGCGGAATATAGAAATAAACTGAATAGAATTGAATATACAGAAACATATTTATACAGGTATATAGAAATTAAATATACTGTAAAAATGTCCACAGCTGTATTTATATTTGTAAAAACAGTGTACATGCAATATTTAATGTTTGTTTTATATTTATTTATATTTTATGTGAATGTTATTTTTACCCATATTTTATCTGCTTTGTTTTTTCTTTACAGCACTTTGGTAAAAACAACGCTGTGGTTGTTTTTAAGCGCTTAATAAAATTGGATTAGATCTTTTTTTATCACTTATTCTATTACTTTTATAAACTTTTTAAGCTCCACAGTTGTGTGACTACTTTTGCTGCTGTGTCGCCACAACGTCCCCACTGTGGGGACGTTGTGGCGTCAGTGTATATCTGCTGTTTATTTATCAATGTCTCTAAAGCTCTGATGCCTTCAGGAAGTTCTCCCCTACCTCAACAGTCTGTGATTTAAACCAAAATACGCGGCAGTGCTGACGCATCCTTCCGTTCTGCTTAAAGAAGCAGGTCGACCTCCCCAAGATGGCAGCCATAATTTCCGTGCCGAGACATTCAATGTCTACTGTTATATACAATGGCAGTGTTTGAATCCATGGGCTGATTCCAAGGCCGATTACATCATAGCACGGCGCCGAGGTCTGGTCCGACTCCTCGTTATGCGGCCGATAAAGGCGTCGTCCTTTTTGCCCGATTTGAAGGACGGGTCCGATGTATCCTTGGATATCCCATGATTCGTTGCGAGTCCAAGCAAGCCAGCTGCTCCGTGCTCGCTATGGAAATTATTTAAATTTTTTTACTGATTAATGCTGAACTCATTAAATCACCACAAATGTATAAATAATGATCGATTATTGATTATTTGATTATTCCTTGCTGACCAGACTTTTTCTTTAAGCTGCACTTCCAATATTCACCACTGTTTGGCGCCAATTTCCTCTTTCCTCTGAGCATGGAGCAGCCGGCTTGCTTTGTTTCGCAATGAATCCTGGGAAATCCGACGCTACGGAGGATACAGCGGACCCATCCTTCAAAACAGGCGAGGAGGAGGCGTTTTTTGGCCGCATAACGAGGAGTCTCCAATCCGAACAGACCTCAGTGCGGCGCTGTGATGTCATCGGCGGATGAATCTGGCCTTTGGACGAGGCAGCCGCTGGATTCTAACTCATCAGATAGTTGGTTCTGGTTGTTATCCAGCTAATGGTTTGCCTCCATTGTTCCCGCCTGCTTCCATGTGATGTAACAGACTGAAGCATTCTGATTGGCTCGCTTATTCCTGTTACACAGTGAAATGAAAGCATCTCTTTATGTTTATATCTATATTCGGCTGACGTAGGTTACTGGCCCGGTTCTGCTGGGCCCACCACCCGCTCCATAGGCTGAATTCAGCAGGTTAAACCCTGAAGGGGTCAAAGGTCAGGCAGGGGGAAGGCGTGTCTCACCTTTTTCAGGCGTTTCTCGTGCGCGCCTTTAATCTGAAGGACAGGAGGAAACGGACAGCAGTTAGCGTCAGAACAGAACCCAGCAGCTGGAACAGAACCTGCAGAATCAGCCCACCTTCTTCTTCGGACCGCTCTCCAGAGGCTGCTCCTTCTCCTTCTTCCTCTTGTGCCCCCCCTCCCCCCTGGCGGCCTCCTCCAGTGGAGGAGGGGCTTTCTTTTTAGGAGGAGGCTCGTCCGTGAGCTTCCAGCGGCCCACCTCCCCGTTATCCAGCCTCCTCTTGCCCGACCCGTCCTGCTGGTCCTGGTTTAAAACACAGAACTGGTTCAGATTTTCAGAACTTTCTGGAAGCTAACTGCGAGCGCAGGCTAACCTCGGAGCATCCCGAACCCTCACCTTACTGGTCTTCCCCTCCTTGTGGCACTTTGGACACTCCCAGCAGTTGGGGATCTCATCGTTGATGATTCCGTCAGCTTTTCCCATCTGAGGAGGAAGAAAACTCAGCGGTGAGCTCTGGATGCGGCTCCTCCGCTTCACTCCAGGTTTATAACTACAGAGACACTGCGGCCCCAACACTGGGGCAAAACCCCAACTTCCTGGGGGGGCCAAAAACTGTTTCCATGTATGGTTATTCCAACTATTCCTTATTTATGCACATTAATTATGTTTTTGATCAAAATCCTTTGGCTAAAATGCCATCAGAACGCTGATAATATTAAGTGTGTCTCAGCCCCCCCCTTCAGTGTCCACCATATTGGATCAGTCCATTTGCTGCACATGTTCAGAAAGGTCCAAACAGACAGCAGCAAACCATTTGAAAACAAACCATGCAAAGAGCAGTGTTGCCAACTTAGCGCTTTAGTCGCTATATTTAGCCACTTTTCAGACCCCTCTAGCACTTTGATTTCTAAAAAGCTCCTAGCGCCAAATCTAGAGACTTTTTTCTGCTACTGGAGACTGGAGACAACATCTAAAAGCAGCGAACTCTGCTCTCCAGAGCGAGTAGATTGGTAACCCCGCCTCCTGCTCTCCTCTATCTTGTCTGCTGTCATGATTCATGCAGCTATTATTTCATCCAAATGAAAAATGGAGAACAGAGAAGCAGATCATGGCTTGTCTACAGTGAAAAGAAGGACTGGGTTATTTACTTTGGCCTTTTTGGAAACACAGGAAGGAGCAATCAGCTAAGTGAGCTTAGTGCTTGGAAAAAATCTTTCATTCCTTTAGAGACAGCATGAAAAGTCAGCTGAGTACAAAACATAGAGAGGAAAACAAGAAGAAAAGGGACAAGAAGAGAGGGACACAACCTAGAAATGATAATGGATGTCTATTCTATTAACATTTCTCTATCTGTAGAATAGGGCTGAAACGATTCATCGAGTAACTCGAGTAACTCGATTACAAAAAATCCTCGAGGAAATTTATCTGCCTCGAAGCTTCGCTAAATTTATTGTATTGTAATAAGCAATGCTGTTAAATACGCAGCACACTGGTCTAGCCGGAGGGTTTTTGTGTTGCACAACGCTACCACTTCCGTTAGTGCCTGGAGCGCTTGTGCTAAGTTTGTAGCTATGGAGGGAACCGGAGAATGCTCAGAAGGAGAACCCCGAAAGCGACAAAAAATGTCAAAAGTTTGGGAACATTTTAGGCTAAACAGAAAGGACAAAACAGCGCAATGCATCCACTGCAAAGCAGAATTGGCGTACCACAACAGCACAACATCAATGTTGCAGCATCTGAAGAGAAAACACCCGCTACATGCATCCAACTCGTACACGGTTGCCAACAGGTAACGTTTATGTTCTCTTTGCTAACTACGTTGTGTGATAATCTGCCATGTTTTAGATGTAAATTGAGGCACATTATTTTGCTAACGTTACATCTAAACATAGCGGTTACTTAACCGGGTGTAGTGTAAATTGTATGTGAGGGTGGAACTGAGAGAAATTATGCAGGACTTAATGTAAGTTTGTTAATAAAAATATGCAGCAACAGATTACAGGCATAAGCTGAAAAGCATTTATTTATTGGTGTCTTTCCATCCTGAAAAGTTGGTCTTTTCTTCTCGCTACTGTTATGTATGAATTAGAAATTTTTGATTAATATTTTTTGTAGTAATTCTATATTTGTTTATACCTAAGCAATCAAGAATAAATAATAGCATCGTTTTAATAAAAAGAGCAACATTTTTGCATTTTATCATGACTAGTTAAGGCTGCAGAACTCTGTACAAACTCTGCATTTTATAAATTTTTTTTATCAGATTACTCGATTAATCGTAAGAATAATCGATAGATTACTCGATTACTAAAATATTCGTTTACAACAGCCCTACTGTAGAATGGGGCTGTTTGATGTGTTGTCTTCTCCATTCAGAGGGGCCCCTGCCTGTATTTGCCTAGGGCCCCACATTTCCTAAATCCGGCCCTGCCCGTAAATAAACAGAAATCTTTTTTCATGTGTTTGAGGCCCGGTTCTACCAGAACCTGTCGGTTCTTCACTGAAACTTCAAACCAGTTAAACAGAGAAGGAGCTTAAAGTTTGAGGCTGATTCCAGAATCAGGACGTCTGATGAAAATAAACCAGAAACAGAAACATCGTCTCTGTCCTGAAAGATAAAATCGTTTCCCTAAACATTGTTTAAAATGAAAGAAAAACCCAGAATAGAGACTCTGAGAACAAAATGGAAAACTGGAATTAAATTTACAGACGATCAACCATCATTGGTTCTTAGATGATAACGTCTCACTAAATATTTCTGATATTATTAATTCACCTTGAAGGGAAAAGGTACAAAAAAAAAAAAAAAGATTCATAGCTGAGAGAATCGTCTGAAAGGTTTTAATAAATGTATAAATAAAAGCCAAAAGGCTAATTAGAAAACTTTATTTTAAACAGTAATTTTATTAAAAAGATCTAGATCAGTTTATTCTATTTTTGCGGATCTCTTCTAAAGTGGTTACCATTTTATATTTCACTTTTTCTTTAATAAATAAGCAAAATTTTCTTCATTTCTGTTTTATTTCTGTCAGGATGGGGGGGCTGAGTGAACATTAATCAGAAATAAAATTAACTTTATTGATTTTAGCAAATTTTTGCAATGAAACCAAGAGTGAAACATTTAAAGGGGGGTGAATACTTTCTGTATATAACATTTAAAACAAACTAAGGACCCGGAAGAACTGGACCAGGATTGGTTGATCTGACCCCATGGAGCGGCGGACTCACCTTGAGGCAGCTGGGGTGGATGATCTCGTTACAGATGGTGCACTCCATCAGACAGAGGCTGAACTTCTCCTCCTCCGAGTCCACCGTGTCCTCCTTCCCCGCCTCGCCGCAGGCGAAGCACACGGCGGTGTGAGGCAACACGGGCTGCAGACACACACACAGGCGGGTGAGGTGTGAGCACGCCATGGCGGCAGAAGCAGCTTTTAAATGACACCCATCATCTGCTGCTTTTAAACTTCCTGACATCTCTTTCAATTAAAAAAATAGTTAAATTTCAATCAACATAAACAGTCAGTCATTAATAAACATCACAGAAAAATGAAGTTATCAAAGAATGTAAACCTAATTAGTGGAAGTAAAAATGTCCCAGTGGATCAAAATGTTTCCTGTTGACAAATTAAACTACAGTTATGAATAGATATATCCTAAACAATATGTCAAAGGGTTTAACATTTGAATACCATTCTAATTTTTTTTATATGGATAATTTTTTACATAAATGAAAATAAAAAAAAATATATAAGGAGTAAAAGTTCAGGTTTAAATGATAAAGTTTGTGAATAAACTGGAAAAAATGGGAAACATCAGTGATCAGATTAATGAGCTACGACCGAAATAAGGTTTAAAATCATTTTATATTTTTACCAAAAAATAAGATTTACTAATTTATCCGTTATTAGATGAAACATCTGGTTTCCAGATGAGGTTTAATAAAAACTTAAAGGACCAGAAGCGTCCGCCTTCAGCGCATCATCGATTACATCATCAATGACGCCTTCCTCCCGCAGGCTGAGGAAGAGGAGGGTCAGACCGGATCAGAACCGGTCGGATCAATGAAGTTCTGGTCTAAAAACCCAAACAGGAAGCTCTCCTCCTATTGGCCAGTAGGGGGCGTCCCTGACCCCTCCCCATCAGAACAGAGCGGGCTGCGGCGCCTTGCTCTGTGGTAGGAATCCTGCACAGATGGATCAGAGCTAGAGCTCGCTCGCTCTCACAGCAAGAAACCATCTGCGGTTGCCATGGAAACCCAGCATCTAGCCTGCCGGGCCGGTGCTGCTGCTATTTGGAAGAAGGCAGAAGAGGTGATGTGGTTCTCTGGGTTTGTGAGAACATGGTGGCACAAAACCGGGTCAGAAACGGAGAACCGGGCCGCCGTGTCGATACGGGCCGTACGGCGCCATGCGGGCGGGGGACATTTTCTGATATCTCCGTTTGTTACGAGGAGAGAAATTTGTTCCATTATTATTTGATTAAATCAAAACCGAGGGAATTTTTTATTTTTTTTTAATAACTAATAATTGAGCAGTTAAAATATTTATGCAAATTATCAAGCAAAACTTTCCCAGCTTGTTATTTAATCTGATTTTATTGTTTGTTGACTGTTTTTTTTTAACAGACTGTTATTCTGTGGGCGGCCTGTGAGGACGTACAGCTGCTGCGTCTCCTTTCTATTAGTGAAGGCAGACGGAGAAATCAGTCTTCTTAAGAAATAAAACAGGTTTGATTAAAAAAAACAGGGTTCCTCCAACATAAAGACAGTTAAATTTAAAACTTTTTAATAAAAAGTTAAAACCAACTTTACAATAAACACCAGAAAAGCTTGGTAGCCATAAATTTACCCAAATATTTATCTGAACATAAATCCTAACTTTCTGGCCCAGTAGAAAAAACACAAATAACAGATTTATTTAATATTTATTTAGTAGTTCATTATATAAACTACTGAACTCAATTCATTAAATTAGTTTTGTTCCTGGCTCAAAGTCCACAAAATATTATCAATTATTTTTATCTTTGATATGGATCACAACAATAAAATCCTATTTATGACTTGGTTACAATATTACGACCTATGAAAGACTGAATTAAGACATTTTAAAACCAAAAGGGCTTTTTTAAGTCTTATATTGAAGAATTCCATAACTTAAGACTTTTAAGGATCAGCGGGAACCCTGAAAAAAAACAATATCAGCTGAAGTTTTGCTTTAACATAATGAATTACTGACAAATTAAACCTTTTGGATTTAGAAGTTTTTCATACTTTCTTTTTTTAAACGACTTATTTTATTTTAATGAAAGAGGAACAAAGTTCTCTCCAAATTGGACACCAGTGAGGACATTGGTCCAGACTTCACCCTCTGTTGCTAACGGTTAGCTTTGGGATAAGCCTTAAGCCGCTGTCACACCTGGACAATTTAGACCAGCGTTTGACTGACGCACGAAAAATCTGGCAAAACTCTGGCGTAGGTTGGATAAGTTCTGAGAACGCTGAAACATCCGAGGGCCGTCAGTTCCAGGTTAGTTATCTGATGGTCGACATCCGTTCAGTATCAGTTCCTCATCAGTCGTGGCGTCTAGCTGATCCTAAACTTCTGCGTAACTTATCCAGAACTTCTCTCCAACATATCAAGGTATCTGACGTGTTCCAGACGAGCGCTGATGCTTCTTAATGCCCATTTAACAATGATTGTGCATCATTTCCTGGGCATTACGCTGCTGTGCGTTATGCAGAAGTTAGGTTGTGGTTGGACAGAAGTTCTGGACTCGTTATGAATCCTCTGTATATTCGCCCAGAATAGAAAAATCCATGGAAAGTTTAGGAGATTCTGGGACGTCAGGCGGACGCTGGATAAAGGTGTGACGGGGGGTAATGGTCAGGGTGAAGGTATAGAAACAGCTGAAAATCAATGGTCTGGTCCTCATAACATACAGTAAGACGGTGAGGTGTGTGTGTGTGTCTCACCGCTGTGCACTGTCTCTGCAGGCAGGACTGCTTCATCCTCCCCGGCCCTCCAAACTTCTTCATGTCCTTACAGAAGTGACACTCTCCACACTCCGTCCTCATGCAGGCCTGGCAGCGCCGGCACCGGGTCCGCCTGCGCCTCGCCCCGCTGCCAGCCCCCCCGCCCAGCGCCTTACTGCCCGACATCCCCAAACAAGTCAGCTGGAGGGAGAGAGACAGAGAGACAGACAGAGGGAGAGATGAAGCTGGTGGAGACGGAACGCGGCTCTGCTGCTCCTCAGAGGAAACCTCGATGATCTGTTGTTAAGGTTCTGCTTCTTCAGAAGGGCAGACTGAGGATTGGATTTATTGCACTATATTAATATTAATAACCTTCAGTGTTTTCTTGTGAGTCATTGATAAACATTTAGATTAGTTTGAATTTCTGGAACAATTAAGTGACCAGCATGATAATCAGGAGGAGGGCAAACAAAGCTTTAAGATGGTTATCTGATGATAAACTTGTGCTGTTTTTCTCCAATAGTTTTGGACCCGCCTCTTTTCCTGATACCATGAAGCCAAACTTTCTCTGCTCCAACAGAGGTGGAAACTGAAACCAACATTATTTTTACTCAATTTCATAGAGCTCAGTTTTCCAAAGCATCAAATAATAATAATAATATGTTGTTTGATAATTTTATATTTGAAATCAGAATTGGTTCCTCTTCATTAGCAGGGCCAGGTTTATTCTGGAGGAGCCATGTTTGCTCCGATTTGGAGGCTGCAGCTATTCCGACCCAAACTCCCTGAACCAGAAGGTTCTGGATGCCGTCCAGAACCGCCGACTCACAGATTAAAACATCTACATCATCTGTCCTTCAAAGAATCAACAAAACAAGAACCGCTTTGTTGTAAATGTTTAGCTGAAGCTCCGCATCATTCCACTGCCACCGCCATGAGTTCTGGCATCTTTCTCATCTCTGACTGGATTCTCCACAGCTCATCACAACTCAGAAAGTTTCTGATCTTCAGAACCAACCATCACGCTGCATTTCCTGCAACGTTTCGTCTGCAGAATTGTTTTTGAATTTGAAATGAAGAACAGACTTTAGGGGACCCCTGTTGGTCAGAGCGACCCAGATCAGCCCTGGTTCATTGAACAGCTGAGTCCTGATGAGTAGAACCACACAGCAGGACCAGCTACTGATCAGAACCTCACCCTCCTCATCCAACAACCTAAAATCAAAGGCACAAATGCTCATTTTAACAGAACCGACCCAGAAAATATTATGAAAATCCAATGGCAGCAACCTGCATGTGTCCTAAAGGAGTTTATGAAGATCCAGCTCCATGTTCGGAGTCTGGGGTCCCTAAACCCAGCCGCCAGTCCACCGGGACCAAGTCCTTTAGGTTTTAGAGCCCTCTCTGGACCAGATGACACCGCCTCCACCTCATCCATCAGAAACCTATTCATCAACACTTATGAAGCCCTCTGAGCAGCAGCAGGAACACCTGGATACCCGGTTCTGGTCCGGCTCACAGAGAACCAATCAGATTAGCTTCTATCTAAAAAAAAAAAAAAAAAACATCTGTGAAGTGTTTGGACCTGTGGATCAGAACCAGAACCAGCTTCTATCAGAAAGCACCCCACAAGCTGCAGCAGGTTGTCGTCATCAAGGTCTGTTGGAGCCAAATGCTTGATTTATGATTGAATATTTATTTCTAGTTTACTATTTTTGTCTGGTTTTGGTATGATATATATGAACATGAAATATTTTGGTGCAAAGTATGAGTTGACTGACCTAATTATGAATTTGTTTATCAAAGTCAAAAGTCAAAAAGCCTTTATTGTCATTATATTCTGTGACAGATACAATGAGATTTGGGACTTCCATAACTTGTGTATTATTTGTATTATTTGTGTTTTGCTGCCGTGCATAATTTACGCCGTTTCTGGCCTCCGCCCCTTCATGATGGACAGGTGACTGCAGCACCTGGATTATAGTGGAGGTGGCTATTGGGGCCGGGAGAGCTCTTGGATTCAGTCAGTGCAGCCATACAGTTTTTAACTGCTTTTGATTATTGTTGTTTTTTGAGTCTCAAAAAAGGAACGAAATGAGCCGATATGATCTGCCTGTCACGTCATACTGCGGTAAGAAAATCTAAGTTTGTTTTTATTTTGGAAAATAAAGCGTCTTGATCAAGAGGAAAGAGAGTTTGATGGATTGCATGGTCACTTCTGAACCAAGAGACACACGCATCTTTATTAGAAAGATTGCGCTAATAGGGTCTGCTAACGTTCCTAACCATCAGCGGTTGATCCCCACCATAGTGGATCAGGTGGGTAAACACCCGAATGACTTAAATCTCTGACCTGATGTTTCTCCATGTCCCACTGACTGCGTATAGAGAGGCTCCGACTGGACAGGATGAGCAGATCAGAGATTATTTTCATTTGTCTCTGTGCTATAAACACATTAAAACTATTTCCCACATTTAAACTGGAACAGATTATGAAAAAGTTATTAAAAACTCACTGTCTCATTCTATAAAGCAAAGCTCTACTTAAAGAGTCTGTGCAGCATCTAGAACCAGAACAGATAGAGAATGTTCATAATGAAATCTATGTTTAAAGAAAAGAAAATCGCAGCAATAAAGTCTGTGGGACGGTTTCCATGGTGACTGAGGCAGAGAGGTGATTCTCAGAGAGATCTGGGAAGTTTATCACAGTTTTTCTTTCTTTTTTCCATAAAGAGGTGAGAGAGATCCGCTGCGCTGACCTGCTCTGTCTGCTCCTCCTTATTCTGGTTTCTGTGAGGCTCAAAGAGGATCTCTACTTTATCCGTTTCTGTCCTCCTGAACTCCTATCATGGGGAAAGTTTCTATTTTAATGTTTCATTGTTTTTGCTCCAGTCTGTCCTGCTCACTATAAACGTGATGTGCGAACAAAACCGAGTCTTTCCCCGTGAGACTAACTGTGATCATCCCCATTGATGTTCAATGTGTGACTAAACGCCGTGACCTCTGAGGCGCAATTTCCTGACAGATCGGACGCTAAATCAGATCGGTTCGGCTCTCCAAATGCTGAGACACACCATGCAATGTACTGACATTAGAAAATATTATTTCTTCTCTTGAATACTCAAGTATTTTCAACACTAAGTACTTCAGTACTTTAACTGGAGTATATTCTTCTCTGAGAAGCTTTTACTTATATTTGAGTGAGATTCGACCGTAAGTATCGATACATTTACTTGTGCTCTATACCCGAGTACTTCCTCCACTATGAACCATTCAGAAAATGCTGCTGATAATTACAATAAAACAAAAAAAGATCATTGATCACTTCAAAGCATACATCCTCCCAACATGATCCAATACTTTTAGGGAAATATTCTGTGTTCTTTTAAATCCGAATTCATCATATCTACAGACAAACACGGTGGTGGCATTATGAGGGTCTGGGAAGAGTCGACTGATGCTGATGAATCTGCAAACTTTCCGTTTTCTGGAGCCGCTTTTCTAAAGTGAAACTGAAGATTAGAGCTGGATGTAAACTGTCCAATTTGGACATGTCTTCATCTATAAGCAGGACCTTGTCCTGGAAGTGTCTCCATGTGTTTTTCACGTCCTTTCTGTTAATAACTCTTTCAGAAATGTGGCTAACCAGGTTATTGTCACGCTGATTTTCACTCCTCTAACAGAAATCTTACTTCCTGAAGCTTCTGAGGGACGATGTAAAAATTACAGCTGATGTTTTCTTTGTTTCCCCTCAACAAACTTCCTCTGAAAAGATCTTAAAAATGCATAATATTCCCCACATCTGATCCAATAACAGAAGCACTGATCAGCCTGTTAGCTCCATGTTGGTGGACAGAATAAGAAGCTGCTAATGGCTAAAAGCTACCGGTCTGCAGCAGCATCCATTCAGCCACCTGCAGCCGCCAAACGCTCTTTGTTTTATTAATTAAACAATTAAACACCTGTACTAACAGAGTCCCTCATCATCTCTCCCACCCCTACAAGAAAACCCACCAGCAGCAGGCATGCTAACGTGTTAGCAGGCTATCGGGCTGTTCGCCCCCCTGCGGCTGCTTCCTCCTTCTGTATCCCAGCGCTGAGCAGCGGCAGCGGGGTGCGTTCACCGAGGAGAGCCCCTGGCTCAGCCGGACACACGGAGGCCTCTCACCTCTTCCTGCTAGCTCGCATGCTCCTCGCTGGCTCATTAGAATCGATGTTAGCCAACAGTTAGCCGTTAGCTTCGGCTATTAGCCGTTAGCTTCAGCTCAGCGCTTCCTTGTTTGTTCCTCCGTCGGGGCTGCTGCAGCTGCTCTGCGATCCAGGCTGCTGCCTCACTTATGTCCCATCACGCTGGCTCCGCCGCTCCGGGGCCCGGGGGGCCAGCTCCACGGACCCGCGCGGGGGTGGAAGCGTCTCAGTTCGGGGATCGCTCGGTGTAGATGGGATGAAGGGCGCAGCGCCGCTGAGGAGCTGGCTGAGTCGTGCCCATTCACTCCCCTCTCTCTCTCTGTTTCTCCGCAGTGAGTCCTCCCCGCTCTGCTCCTCTTCCTCCTGCGAGACTTTAGCAAACACAAAAAACACGCTAACGCCTCGCGCTCACCAGGAACTGCCTTCCCTATCCCAGAGTAACCATCCGCCAAACAAATAGTCCTCGCGCATTAACATGAATCAGATAAAGCGCGGCGCGCGGCTTTTGTTCTCATGACTATTGTGTGGGGCGCGTGCTGCTCGGTGCGCGTCGCGCGTGCTTTAGATCGTCGCAGTTGTCAGCTAGCTTGCCACCTGTGCGACATTCTCTAAATCCCGCATTGATTACGTCACGCGGGTGGCAGCAGAACCCGCGCGCCGCTTCACTCTTGGAGCGTAACGACAAAAATAATGAAATAAATGCGGGAATAAAATGTAGTAAATAAAATCTGGGCAGGAGCTCTGCGCGCATCCCACCTTTACGTGATGACGTCACATTTGAAGTCGATTTTGGGACATTTAAAAATTCTTAAATCATTGGCACTTTAATCCAAGCAAACTGCATCTCAGTTCCTTAAGTCATTTCAGTCTGGAATAAAACCTTCTCTCTACCCAATAAATATTTAATAGTAAATAAGGTTAAAGAGGTTTTTTTTTTTTTATTTCAACACTGTTACCCAGTAAAGTCATTTTTGATTAAATATAAAAGAGCAAAAAATAACTTTCTGACCATTTCTTCTTATGTAATCTTTTACTACCGTTGGCCAAGTTTTATAAATGTAAAACTATTATGATTAAACCCTCATGTATTTTATTTTTTTAAAGGAAGTAAAAACGTATTTTTCCACATTGTCCTCCTCCAATAACAAAAAGGCTGTTAAACCTTTATACTGTAAATTCAAAGTATGTATTTAAGCCCCTTGCATGCTTCTATGTGTAGCTTTACTTAATCATTATCACTATTTTTACTTTTATTCAGTTATTTTTTATTTATTGTTATTATTTTTGTTCAAAACCCTGGCGATTATTCACTGGAAACTCATTTTGTTTTGTTTTTTAAAGAACTTTCTAATAAAGTTTATAAAAAAAATTAAAACCCTTAAAACGGTTTGCATAAAAAATGTATTTGACAATAATAAAATAAGGACAAACCAGCTGGAAATGTATGAATAATGTAATGTTTAATGTTATATACAAGTAAATAAAAAACACAACAATCCACACTAATTTAACTGAATTAAAATGATCATATAAAACTGATAATTATTGTCATTGATTTTATTCTACACTAATTAAAAAAATGATTTCCATAATCAATTATTGGGTCGCTCTGCTGATACTCTGATGAAACTTTGGTATTAACCTTTCAAATGTCAACATAAAGCCAAATAAATGCAAAGTAGAGCTAATGAAATAACACAGATTGCAATACGATGAGTTGTACAATTAATCCACACCTTATATAGTCAACGTATGTTTTCTTCTGATTAACTCTGAAGTGGAATTTTGATCTGAGAATGAAAAAAAAACCCTCAAATTAACAAAGATTGATCAGCAGGATTCACTATTTGTTACACTTGGTAGCCAGACTTAATGCTGTTATACGATGAAATATATTTTTTTTCAAAATGTTAAGTGCTAAAAGAAGATGTTTACAAAAATTGGTTCTGCATATATTTGTGTTTACTGATACAGAAACAATCAGGGATGCAAAAATAATCATATTTCAAATGCATGGAAACCATATTGTATAAGAAGGTTGTGGTTGGTAAGGAAACTTGGACTTTGATAATCTGTTCATTTCATTCGTCTTGGAAATAATATCTGAGTTTGCGTTTTTAAAGGAGCGCGATATAACCACAAGAAAATATTAAATAATTTCTCTCCTCTCACCCTCCATTCTTATGAAATTGGGAAGGACATGTTTAGATAAAGCCTCTAATAATGATGAAAAAACCTCTCAAACCCCCTAAATGAATAATTTGTCGTTTAATTATGGCCAAAGTGCGGCTCTCCTCCGCCTCAGAAAACTTTTCCACCTGATGTTTTACCTTACCAATATGGCGGCCGAGCTGACGCGTCACATCAGCGTTGATGGCTCCTCCCTACCCGGCCTCTGCGCAGCTAACAGGCTAAGCTGGCTCGACTTGCAGCTTCTCTCTGCTTGCTTAGTTAGTTTGAGGCGCACCGGCTCCATCCTCACCACGGTGCTGTTCACACCGACCTGACTGAAGGTTCACGCCCGACACAGGGACACCGAGTTCGGACATCAGCTTACAAACAGTTGAAGATGATTAAGCTCTTCTCCCTGAAGCAGCAGAAGAAAGACGAGGAATCTGCTGGAGGAAACAGAGCCGGAGCCGGGGGGAAGAAAGCCAGCGCGGCCCAGCTCCGAATACAGAAAGGTGGGTCAGCTCCCCCCCAGAGAGGCCCCTGCTGAGCCGCTTCATAGCGGCCTCTCCTCCCCGGTCACCTAACAGCAAACACGGGATGAAAGCAGCAGCTCTAAGGGGGAGATCAGTGATTCCAGGCCGGCTGTTGTTACCCAACCAGGCTAACCGTTAGCTTAACCACAACCCGGAGCTAACAGCGGCTAGCTCTTTCTGCCATAGTGGAAAAACAAACTGAGACGGAGCTAAAATGTTAATATTCAGTCACAAGTGTGATTAAAACCAGTTAACCAGCTACAACCAGAGCTCTTAACAAGTTAACCCTCTTTATTCAGATGTTTTAACTAGTTAACCAACTATAATCACATGATTTAACCAGTTTACCTGCTCTACTCACTGTTTTTAACAGTAATCATATAAATTCAGAGGCTAAAACTGTTAGCCTGCTGTAATCAGATTCTTTAACCAGATAACCTGCTATAATCAGAGGGTTTAACTAGTTAACCTACTGTAATCAGATGGTTTAAGTAGTTAACCTGTTATATTCAGAGGGTCTAACTAGTTAACCTGTTATATTTAAAGGGTTTAACTAGTTAACCTACTGTAATCAGAGGGCTTAACTAGTTAACCTCTTATATTCAGAGGGCTAAACTGGGTAACCTGCTGTAATCAGAGGGTTTAAGTAGTTAACCTGTTATATTCAGAGGGTTTACCTAGTTAACCTGCTGTAATCAGAGGGTTTAAGTAGCTAACCTGTTATATTCAAAGGGTTTAACTAGTTAACCTGTTATATTCAGAGGGTTTAGCTGGTTAACCAATTGTAGTCACAGGGTTTAACTAGTTAACCTGCTGTAATCAGAGGGTTTAAGTAGCTAACCTGTTATATTCAAAGGGTTTAGCTGGTTAACCTATTGTAGTCACAGGGTTTAACTAGTTAACCTGCTGTAATCTGTACAGTTCAAAGCTGAAATTGTCGAAGTTTTTGGGTTCAGTTGAATTTTCCGGAAGTGGTTCCTGAAAACATCTCAGCTGATGCAGACCTTCCACGCCTCCTTTAACACCTTTAACCAATGCTGTTACCATGGTGATCTCTGTGTTGCTAACCTCTCTGTGGTCCGTTGATGATGATGATGTGTTTTTCTGGCAGACATCAATGAGTTAAACTTGCCAAAGACGTGTGAAATCAGCTTCCCAGATGACGACGACCTCCTCAACTTTAGACTCATCATCTCACCAGACGAGGTGAGCCGAGTTCAGGAAGCCCCCACCTGCAGATTCTCAGTTACAGTTAGGAAACTTTAAAAAAGAGCTAAAGTGTTTTTGTTGTTTTTTTACAGTTTGAATCCCTCAGTTTGAATTTTTTGGTGAATCTGTTGTTTATTCAGCAAACCCAGAACTGAACTTACTGGATAAGAAGAAAGAGAACATAAATCAAACTGACTTATTTCAAATGTAGTTTGTATAAAAACAGAAAGTTTGTTTTTACCACCAAAGTTTTCATGGTTTAGATTTCAGCTCTATATATTTAAACATTAGTTGTTGTTTTTTTTTTCAAATGTATTAAAGTTTTCGTTGTTTTATACTCTGAGATAACATCAACAGAAACAAACAATAAGAAATAAAAGTCAGTAAATAAAAAGAAAAAAAAAAAAAAAGAAATGTTCTAAATTACCCATGAGCCTTTGCTCAGTAGAGCCTCAGCCTCCTCCTCAGCTTGGACGGATCGCTGACCTCAGGGACCTTCAGACCCTCCTGGAGCCGCTCCATCTGGGCTCTGAAAGATGAGTGAGGTGCAGATAGTCTTCCCCACAGTATGATGCTGCCGCCGCCATGCCTCGCAGCAGAGGGAGGATGAAGGTGAGGAGCAGAGCTCAGTCTGATCTAAGGGTTGACCCTCTGGGTGGTTCTCCAAATCCGGAGCTCCACCTTAAGGATCGCTGGCTCCTCTGGTTCCTCCGTCATGACACAAAAACGGTGAAGCAGCAAAGGATTGTGGGAGTTAAACTGAGGCAAAGAAATGCTGTCAGTGCTGTTTGAAGGTGTCTGAAGGGTACAGAGGGGTCGGTAACTGTTAAACGCTGGTCTTAATATCGGCCCAACGCTGTCCATCCTTAATGAGATGTAGATAAACTGATCAGCTCTCTCTGCAGAATCTACATCTACCGTCTCTACCTGCTCATCCTGCAAAGCATCCGCTGGTTTCTCTTACAAACTCTCAACATTTAATCTGACTGGAGGATCTGGTTGATCTGGATCTATGAAGAGACAACATGATGCAAATCGGCGCATAGAGATAAACCGATTAGATTCTCAGGGCTGTGGGGTGAATTGTTTTTTCTCTGATCCAGCAGCTGCAAACGTTTTTTCTCATTGATTGTTGGGAAACATTTTCCAGCGTTTCAATGACTAGAGGAGACGATCGAACTAAAAGCTAGTTTATTTTTAAACATTAATATCCCACTCGTATTTTTAATATGAAAGTTAATAAAGATGAATGGGGAAAAGTCTGAGTTTAGATTTAGAACCTGAATCTCTGAGCTCAGATTAAAGGCTTTTGTCTCTTTCAGGGTTTTTACAAAGGAGGAAAGTTCGTCTTCAGCTTTAAGGTAAATAAAGCTCTTTGAATGGTCCGTATGCTGAATAAACCTGCTTTTACCTAAATAAGATCTAAAAAAATAATGTTAAAGTTTTTATTTTCTGGGCTTCATTCCAGAAAGTGAAGCTTATATGGGTTCTTTGATGATTTTTCTGTGAGTCTTTGTGAACGGAGGGTGGAGCAGCTGCAGCTCCTGAAGGAGCCGATGTCTAACAGAGTCTCTGTGTTCCAGGTAGGACAGGGTTACCCCCACGACCCCCCAAAGGTAAAGTGTGAGACCATGGTCTATCACCCAAACATCGACCTGGAGGGAAACGTCTGCCTAAATATTCTACGGTGAGTCCCCAGCTTCAGCTGCTGCTGTGTTCGCTCTGAACTCCTGCAGCGCTCCGTTGGTCTGAAGAGCTGAAAATCACCCAGAAAAATACTAAAAATACTAAAAACTAAAGAAAATGTTTTCTAATTAAATCTTTTTTTCAATCTGAACAGGCTTATTTTTTAAATAAGCATTAAAATTCATTAAATGTGATTATTGAATAAAGCATATAAAATGCTTTATTTAAAAAAAAAAAGTTA